CCTTCACTTGTGCCCTCTATTCCCTCCAAATAGAATTATTATTATTATTTATTATTCCCTCTCACACATCTTCAACCTCTCTTTAATTACTAAGTCCATCCCCAATGCCTACAATCAGAATCAGACCTCAATAGCTCATTATCCATCTCCCACCTCCTTAGTATTAGTGCTCCCCCTGGCTCTGTCCCAGGACCTCTTCTTCCTCTAATTTCATCCTTTTGACCTCATTTGCTTCCTTAGGTCCAAAAAGGTTTAAGTGGATGACTATCAAATCAATGATTTGAAAACAATGAATGAACTTGTGATTTCATTAGTATGGGGAACACCTAGATGAGGAAACTCCCGCTACCAATTCATGACAGTACTTTTTTTTTCTATGAATAGTTTCTGAGAGTTACCTAGAGCACTGAGGTTAAGTAACTTGCCCAAGGTCACACACCCAATATAAATCAGTGGCAAGATTTAAACCTAGGTCTTAGAAATTACTCCCCTCTACTTACAACTTAGGAACAATTTCCCTTCTTACTGTTCCTCATAAAAAGACACCCCAACTCCCAATCCCATGCCTTTCCACTGGCTGTTCCCCATGCCTGGGATGCTCTCCCTTCTTACCGCTCTGCTTCCTGCCACCTCTTCCATAAAGCTTTATGTAAGCCATCAATTGTTACCGTTGTCTTTCTTCAAATTACCTTCTACTCTATTTATCTATCTACATGCTTTATGCCCCCCGTAAAAATGTAAAACTCCTTATAGGTAGGGATTATTTTCTCTCTCAAATCTGTCTTCAGACACTGACTAGCTGTAACTCTGGGCAAGTCACTAGGATCAAATGAGATATCTGTCAAGTGTTTAACAGTGCCTGGTATATAGTAGGTGCTATATAAATGCTCATTTTCTTGCCCCTGACTGGGAAACCCACGGGGAAAAAAAAATCACAGTGACCTATATTTCCAAGCCAAGGTCAGCAAGAGAGATAGAGAGGTCTGTAGATATTGTTGACAGAGAGGAAGCAGTCTGGCCAGGGATGCCATGGTGTACAGAAATTAGGATCTAAACTATGCACCAAGGCAAGAAGAGGTCCCAAACATACATAGAGAACCCCGATCTTATGTAGGATGCAGGAACAGGTGTCAACTGGGAAGCTCTGTCATTCATTACCCAGTTCTGGGTCACAGATCCAGGGTACAGTGAAGTGGGGATCTGCACCCAGGATGAGCTTCCAAAGTTGAGAAGCTATTACCAACTCTTATGCTATGCACTGAGCAAGGAACAAGTTCAGAAGTAAACAACAGCTGTGTGCCTCAGACCCCAGGAAAAGAGTAAGGTCTCAGTTCCAGCCTCCAGCCTATGCTAAAGTCCCCAGTGTAATGGCCAGGGAAAGAATCCTAGACCAAGGAAGAACCTATAGTTCCGTCACTCCAAAGCAGCAGAGCTTTCCAGCTGGCTGATCAACACTTAGTCCAGTAGATGTCTCCTAGAACTTCCAATCAGGGGCAAGCCAATAGGAGTATTATGCAGACCCACACCCAAGTGAGGAACTTAACAGAGCTCAGAACAGAAAGGCAATGATCAGACTTTGCCCAGGACCAGATCACTTTGGGAGCACTAAAACCCTGCAGGTCCCCAGTCTGAGCTGTCCTTAAGAACTCTAACCTAACACTCAATAAAACCTCAAGAAACCAGTGACGGGACCCAAGAGGACAAAAGTTCAGCCCAGACATTACCCTCCCAGAAGTACCCATAGTCTAGTCCTAACATCAACAAAACAAAACAAAAAAAGAATCCCACCATATAGACTATTATGATGACAAGGACACTCAAGTCACAAACCTAAAAGAAGAAAACTAACTTCAAAAGTAAAACATAGCTTGGGAACAAATTCAACTATAATTCCTGAAGAAGATGAAGCAAGACTTTAAAAAAAAAAAAGCTACAAAATATTTTTTGAAAACCAAATGAGAGCAACAGAGGAAAAAACTGGGAAAAGAAATTGGTGTTATGGCATCAATTTTTTTTTTGGCTAGGCAATGGGGTTAAGTCACACAGCTACTAAGTGTTAAGTGCCTGAGGCCACATTTGAACTCAGGTCCTCCTGACCCCAGGGCCAGCGTTCTATCCACTTGCAACTTAGCTGCCCTGGAACAAATATTTGGAAATATAATTAACAGCTTGGAACAAGGGATATAAAATCTTACTCAAGGGGGAAAAAAACTAGCTGAAAATTAGAATATACACCAAAATAGAAGCTAATGTCTCCATAAGACAAGAGAAGTTTCAATGAGTCAAGAAACATTCAAATTCAAAAGAATGAAAACAATTAGAAGAAAATGTAAGGCAACTCATTGCATCACTGGACTACCTGAAAGCTTTGACCAAAAAAAGAATCCCACCATAACATTTCAAGAAATCTTAAAAGAAAACTATTCAGATAACTCAGTCAGAGGGCACAACAGAAAGTGAAAGCATCTACTAGTCACCTAAAAGAAAACACAAAATAAAAACTCCTAGGAAAATTACAGCTAAAATCCAGAGGTTCCAAATCAAAGAAAAAATACTACAAACAGCAAGAAAGAAAGAATTAAAGTACCAAAGAGCCATAGTCAGGTAAACTCCATAGCCACCAGTATAAAAGAGTAGAGAACTTGAAATATGATATTGCAGAAGAGAAAAGATACATAGGCTTACAACCAATAACTTATCCAGAAAAACTGAGCATAATTCTAAAGGAAAAAAATAGACCTTCAATGAAAGAATGAACTTTTAAACATTCCTAAAAGATCTGAGCTACATAAAAACTTTGAAATGAAAACACAAGAGTCAAGACAAAGAAAAAAAGATAAACATGAGTAAGTAAGAATAAACTGTTTGTATCCTACTATAGGGAGATAAGATTCTTGTCCCCTCCAAATCCTATCATCATCAGAGGTCATAGAGAGCATCTGATTAGAGAGCCTAGGAATGGTTCTGTTATATTCTGATGATCTTAAAAGCATGGGAAGGCTAGGGAAGAGGAATATATTGGTGCAGGGGAAGAAAAAGGTAGGAAAAATAGGGAAAATTACCTCACATAATTGAGGTGTGCAAGTAGAAGTTTATACAAACAATTAGGGAGGGTGAAGGGGAACAGCAGACACTTGAACCTCAGTCTCATCTGAATTGGTCAAAGAAGAAAACTGAGTACAGAAAAAGATTTCACTCAAGAGGAAAAAAGGAAGAAAGGTGGAGAAAAGAAAGGGAAAATAAGAGAGAAAATAAAGGGAGGGTTTAGTCATAAGCAAAACAAACTTTTACTTAGAAGGGTGGATTTCAAAAAGGGGCTTAAAAGAAAGAAAAAAAAGACAAGAACCTGTTATTAGGTTATAGGTAAGGGAAACAGAAGAGGGGAAGAAAAACAGAAGCACATTACACCAAAACTAGAGCACTGGTTCTGAGCTTACTCCTTGTCTCTCATCGCTCTCTTCTTCATAAAAAGGGAACAGGAACCAAAGAGAAGGAAAAGTATAAGAGAACAGAATGAAGTGAAATATAAAATCAAACATCATAACTGTGAATGGGATGAACTCACCCATAAAAGATAAAAAACAGATTAGAAAGAAGAATCCAATGTATTGTTTACATGAAACATACTTAAAACAGAAAAATGAACACAAGAGTTAAAATAAGAGGCTGAAGCAAAAAAGATTATGCTTCAGCTACCATTAAAAAAAAGTAGGGATTATAACCATGATCTCAGAAAAAGCAACAGTTTTTTTAAAAAAGACCTAATTTTAAAAAATAAAAGGGAAACTACATTTTGCTGAAAAGTACCATAGACAATGAATATCAGTACTAAACATAAGCACCAAATGGAATAGTATTTAAATACTTAAGGGAAAAGTTAAATGAGTTACAGGGAAAAAGACAGGAAAGCTGTAATAATGGAATACTTTATTAACTCTCTCAGATATAGATAAATTTAACCAAAAAATAAACAAAAAAAAATGAAGGACCAGAACAGGGTTTTAGAAAAGTTAGATATGACAGACCTCCAGATATTACTGAATGGAAATAGAAAGGATTTCTCAGCTGTGCATGCCACTTCTACAAAAACTAACTACATATGAGGGCATAAAAATTTCAAGAACAAATGCAGAAAAACAGAAATGCCAAACGCATCTCTTACAGACTACAATGATATTATTATATTCATTAAAGGTCCACAAAAAAATGATTAAAATTTTTTAAAATAATAATATATAAAGTTTATCCTTACCAGACTAACAACCATAGCTCAAGATTTTTTTTAGTAATTGGTCCCTGAAAAAGACCTTCCCAGCAGAAAGCAAGAGTTTACGTAACTCCCTTTCACAGGTTGCACATTTTGAAAAGCATACCAAAGGTACTTATTAAGTGTCAAAACAATACAGAAGAACTGTGACTTGGTTCAATACAAAGTTGTTTGTTTTTCCATAAAATCATTACTTTTCAATTCACTCTGAAAGTCAGTGACACTAACAGTCACTTCCACTCCAACTCAGTTACTCTAACGCAGCAAACTTTTTGTGGGTGAGCAGTTTTCAGTTTTGTTTTCTATTTTTAAATTCATGTTAATTTGTACTTTACTAATTACAAAAGAAATCACTTTATGACATTTTTGAGATGACAATTTTAATTTCATTACTACAGATATGGAGAAGAAACCCAATTCTTTTAAATTGCTAAAAGTTTTAAAGTGCACCACCAACACATGCTGACCTATTATCAACTGTATAAGCAATATGAGTAATAACAGAGTGACAAGAGGGAATTCTTGCTGTACTTTTAAAACCTTAAAAATGCAGAGTTTCATACACTAGATAAATACTTTCTGGTAAGTCATTAATTTTACTTAAAATCTTTAAAGCTTCTTTCTTCACGTACAATGTGATGACTTTGTCCAGGTAAGATGCAAACTATTATTAAAATCACTTTGATAATCACCATAACGTACTAAAAGTACAAAAAGAAAGTTATACACTTACTCATCACCATCCGGACAAATTCCTGTAGTCTCATCATATTTTGTACAATACACATCAGGACTATAATTAAAAGTTCCATCACGCCTTCGGATGGGTCTACGGCGACGCTGATTTAGGAAATGCCAATGAAAACAGGTAAATGGTCTGTGTTGTGTACACTTGTGCTGCAAAAACAGAGGGCACTGTTCTGTCCTAAATTCCTTTAGATACCTAAAAAGATAAATGGTATTACAAGTCGTTTCAGCTGGAGGGAAGTACTATACATTTGATGCAGTGTTTACTTGATAACTTAAAGAGTTCTCATTGTCAGGCTAAACTGCGTGTAAAACAATGTAACTTTATTAGGACCCAGCAACTTAACGTTAATTGCTTAATGGTTTTTTAATGACCACCGCCAAACTTAGAAAGGGAATCCCTACGTAAAATACCTAAGTGCCATCTATCTTCAATTACACCGCGCAGGATGGAGGGGAAAAGAGAATCCCCCCAGGCATAGGTCTGCATTAAATGCAGCGGGGGGGGGGGAGCACACCCCTCCCATCCATCCACACCCGATTCCTTCAGAATATACAGAATTCAACTATGAAACCAGCTCCTAAACTGTCCCGAAGGCAGATTTTGCAAAATTTTGCTTAACACCAATGTAGCTTCAGCACTTTTTAAATGAAGAAGGAAAGAGGGGGTGTGTGAGGGGTGTGGGTGAAGGCAAAGGTTGGCACTTTAGGCCTGGCATCTGGGGCCCCCGCAGAGGAAGGGGACAGGGAAATAGCAGGGTGGCAGCCACGAGAAGGGAGAGCGGGCAGGCGGAGTATAAGGGGAGACCCCGGAGACCCGGGACGCGGGAAGGAGAAGGGCTGGACGCCACGGGCCCAGGTGGGCTGGGGGAAGCCCGGGAGGCCGTGTAAGGGACACTAGGCAGGAAGTTCAGGGTATCCGGTGAGGAGTGGGGCGGCCCGGCCCGGCCCGGAGCCCAGGCGTCCAGCAGGCGGAGAGGCCTGGGGGAGGGGCAGGCTGGGAGGCGGCTCCGCGGGCGGGGGGAGGGGAGGGAGGGGAGGGAGGGGAGGACGGAGGCGGCGGCGGCGGCTGCTCGCAGGCCGCAGGAGCGCTCCAGCCGCCCCGCCCCGCGCCGCGCCACCGCCTCCGGCTCAGAGCGGGGAAGCCCCGGAGCCCGCGAGGCCGAGACGCGAGGAGGACCGGGAGCTGGGGGAAGGAGGGCGGGGAACGCGGGAGCGCGGGCCGAAGCGCTCGGCGGCGGGGGCGGGGGCGCGCGAGGCCGCTTCCCGCCCGCCGTGGCGGAGGCAGCTGCGGCTACGACGGCGACAGCCCCGGGCGGTAGGGGGCGGCACGGGACACTGACCTGTAATGAGTCGGTTTCTCTGTCTGGGGGGGATCCGCTCAGCGCCGACGCCGCCGCCGCTGCTTTCGAAACCGACGGCATTTTCAGTCAAAACAATGCAGCGCGCATGCGCCGGTCGGACCCGCCCCCGCCCCCTCCGGATCTCCCCCCCACCTCCCCTACCCCTACAGTCTTCGCCAAGCCCACCGGGCCCCCCACCCCCTCCCGCCCACCCACGCGCCCGCCAGCCCACTCGGAGGCTGGACCCCGCCCCCGTCCTGGAAGGCCCGTAGGCCCCCTCCCGCCCCGGAGGCCACGCCCCCGCCTGGAACGGCCACACCCAGTGGCCACACCCACTACCTTGAGGCCCCCCACGTCTCCCAGCCCAACAGCCCGCAGAGACCACACCCCCACCATGAATGACACCGCCCAAAGGCCTGGAGGCTGAGATCGGAGGCCACGCCCTCGGGTCGGCCCATATCTGGACCCGCGCCCGAGGGCCGGAGCCCCCTCTTGAGTGACCGTCTTTGCCGGTGCCGGGCTGGCCCTCTGCGCTGGTGCCAGGGCGTCGCGCGCCACAGCCTCAGGGGACCCCCAGCTCGCGGCCATCAAATCCCCCCCACCAAGGAGAGCGTGAGAACGCTAGCAAGCTAAGCAGACAGACCCATCAGTGAGAAAGAAGCAAAAGGCCCGGCGTGAGCCGTGAAACACACACACACACACACACACAACACACACACACACACACACACACACACACACACACACACTCTCTCTCTCTCTCTCTCTCACTCACTCTCACGCAGTAAGCACATCCCTATCACAATCAAGGGCCCTGCCTTCTCCCCAACACTTATTGCCCCCATCCTCTCAAGTTGGTCAGTGAGCATTAAATACTTACTGAAAATGCCCAGAAAGCAAAAACACGGAGATGAAGCATCAACTATGTATAAGCGTTCTCCTTCACATGGAAACTGCCCCATCCCATTCATAAATCTACTGGTACCCTTTTCCATCACAGACACAGTGCCTTATAGTACCGAAGGGAATAGACAAGGTCATATAGGCTTTACTAAGTGCTCGCTACTGTGACAAAGTCTTTTTTGCAAGTATGATTTCATTTGATCCTAAGCAACCCTTTGAGACATTAATCCTATTTTATAGTTAAGGAAACAGGTTAAGTGATTTGCCCAGAGTCACACAGCTAGCTCTATCCACTGCACCATTAGCAGCCACTTAGATACGTTGTAGCCTCTCCTAACACTCTACCTATTTGTTTCAACATTAAAAGAGCATGTATTAATTGCCTGCCTTACACAAGACACTGAGCTAGGCGACAGGGTCACAAAAACAAATGAAAAGGAGTCTCTACCCTCAGCAAGTATGCACACATTCTTGTAAGGGATGCAATAGATAAGCAGATGAGAAACTATTACTTGAAGGAGACAATGCTAAACTAGCTGGAACAAGAAAGGACTTCTGGGAGGTATTGCTAGAGCTGAGCCTTGAAAGATGAGAATTCTAAAAAGTCAATGTAAGGAGGAAGTGCTTTCCAGGCATGAAAGAAGAGATGTGAAATGTGACTTTGGAGAAAAGCAAAAGGGCCAGTTTAGCTGAAACAAAGAGCATCTGAAATGGAGTAGCACGAAACAAGCCTGGGAAGGCAGGCTGGAGCCATTCTGGAAAAAGCTTTAGGCTTCGCATCACCTTGATGCCAAGCTGCGGAGTTTGTATTTTACCGTAATAGACAATAAGAAGCCACCGAAAATTCTGGAGCAGGGAAAACACATTGGTGAAATCTATGTATTAGGGAAATAATTTTGGCAGCTACATAGACTGTAAAATTGGGTGACAATTAACAAACTGCTCTAGTCATAGGGCCCAAATGAGTGTAGTGGCCATGAATTTGAAGGGGACAGACAGGACACATCTTATAGAGGTAGAATTGACAATATATATCAACTGATGAGCTATGAAACCAAGAGAAGAGTCAAGCGTACTTCAGAGACGTCAAACCTGGGATGAAGAATAGAATCACCCTCAGAAGAAAGAGGGACGTTTAGAAGCAGATATTAAAGTAGGGAATGGGTTCAGTTTTAAACATGGTGATTTTAAGATAAAGACATTCAGATCGAGATCTTCAGCAAGAAATAGGTCATGTGGGACTACAAATGAGAAGAGATTTGGGATGGATATACAGACTTGGGAATCATTTGAATAAATATAACTGAGGGGGGCAGCTAGGTGGCACAGTGGATAGAGCACCAGCCCTGAAGTCAGGAGGACCCGAGTTAAAACTAGCTGTGTGGCTCTGGAAAATTCACTTAACCCCAAATGCATCACCAAAATAAATAAATAAGTTGATCCCAAGGGGGCTGATGAGATCACCAAGATAAAGAATTGTAGAAAAGGAAGAAGCCTATATCAATGCCTTCTGGGACAGCCATGGTTAGAAGGCAGAAGGCATATACTGACCCAACATGTACCAGAGAAGTATAACAGACTAGTAGATAGTGCACTGGACTTGGAGTCAAGAGACCCGAGTTCAAATCTTCTTGTAGACATTTAATTGCGTAACCTATGATGTCTCTAAGTCCCTTTCAGCTTTAAGTCTATACTTCTACGATCAAGCAAAAGAGACTAGGTAAGGAGCAATCAGAGAAGCGAAACCAAGGAAGAGCAGTCAGTGTCACGAAAGCCGAGAAAGAGGCTATGCAGGAACAAGAACTGACCAACAGTGTCAGAAGCAGAAGTCATGATGAATGACATCTGAGAAAAGGCCAATAAATTTAGCAATTAAAAGATCACTCGTGCCAGGGCTGGTGGGACAACCTGTATTTCCAGCTACCACAGAGCCCTAGGTTGGTGGATCTCTTGGGCTCAAGAGTGGACTAAGTCCATCAGGTCTCCACATTAAGTTTGGCATCAATGTAGTGAGCCTCCTGGGAGCAGGGAGCCATCTGGCTGCCTAAGGAGGGATGAACCCACCCAAACTGAAAACAGCCTGACTGAGATAGGGACACTAGAGACCAGGAATAATGAAAAGTAGTTGAGTACATTAGAAGGAGCTCACAATGGCTAGCCTTTGTTTACTCAGTAAAATAGGAAGCAAAGTTTCCCCTGCTCTGCAGGGTAAATTGAGAGGGGAAGGTGTAATGGGGCTTGAAAAGAGAAGCCAAGGGGGAAATGCTAGACAGGGTCCTCCAATCAATCCCTTGTGGGACAGGGTATACTCAGCCAACCCTCATTATAGCTGCCTTGAGATCAGGAGCTAAAGCTGAAAGACACTCTGTTGAGCCAATGCTCAACCAGTTTCCAGGAGCTGCCAAGTAGTTTTGTCATTTTTTTTTATTCAGTTGGGGTTAAGTGACTTGCCCAGGGTCACACAGCTAGTAAGTGTCAAGTGTCTTGCCAAGTAGTTTTTATCCTCTACTTGAGAAACTTCAAGGTCTTCCCATTGCTTACAAAGGACAAATCTCAAACTACTTATCTCAGCATTCAAGGCCCTCCATAGGCTAGCCTCAACCTGCCTTTCCAGTTTTACCTCCCATTTCTTGACTGCATAGGATGTCTCCCAGTGGTATTGATAGTCATACATTCTAATTTTATGAGTTGGTAGGGAGTAGAGGAAAAATTACAATGCTTACTACTTGTGTGACCTTGGGCAAGTCATTTAAATTCTCTGGGCTTTAGTTTCCTCCTGTATAAAATTAGGGGTACAGGAATGACTTCTGAAGGCCCTTCCAACTCTAAATCTACAATAGTGGAAGAAATGATGGCCTTGGAGTCCAGATGTGGGTCCAGATCCTGCTTCTGACACCAGGCAAGAGGCAATCACTTAATTCCTTTTGCCAAATCTCACTTTCCTCACCTATAAAATGGTAATAAGAATATTTGTACTATGTACTTTACAAGTTTTTAAATGCCAGTATACCAACCCCTCCAAAACAGTAACCCATTCTTTGCCTCTCTCACATTCACCCAAAGCCTGTCCCCATTCACACACAATCAATGATATTCCCTTCACACATGCTGAGAATCATTCACACAGCAGACACAATGCCCCACTCCCAATCCCCAGAGACATGTATGAGGGTTTCTAAGAACCATCCAGGTGTGAGTTCTCTTGTGAGACAAAACTTCGAAAGAAGTTGGGGAGCAGTCAGGGCTAGTTTTGCAGGCAAGTATGCTTGCACACAGTTTCATTCTTTGCACTTGTATGCCCTGCACATAACAGTGCCTGGCACATCGTAAGTGCTTAATAATTACACATGGATTGACTGGCCTTACTAGAGTGAGACTGTAGTAAACTGTCAGTTGCCAAGGGACCTGTTTCGATGTGACCAGCAGGAAGCAGTTCAAACACCTGCATTTCCACACTATTTTCTCCCAATGCTTCTCAAGGGGATCTCTGTGAATTCCAAACCTTCCTTCCCCTAGTCCTATCTCTTTCCTGTGCTCTGGGAAGTCAGGGTGGTCAGTGGAAGGATGAGAATTAATAGATCAAGTGGTTTCTTTACAGTATTGCTGTTTGGAAACTTCTTTAGTTTTAGTACCATCATCTGATCTTCAAAAGGAAAGTCTAAGTCCTAAGAATGAAATGGCAGGTTTGCCTAATGAGAGTTAAGGTATCAGAGTAGCCGAGATTTTCCTATTTTAGTCATTGTTTAGCATATTCCTGGTCATATACTAGATCTAGATGGAACCCAGAGCCAGCTGCTCTGCCCACAAGTGGGAAAGAACTAGGAGTGGGGAGTGGGGTGGAGGAGCAGTCTAAGAGTTTACACAATATCAACCTCTGTTGAGCATCGGGATACCGCAGCCTTCAGAAAAGCCAGGGTCATCTCTGCTTCTCTTCTGCCAGACAAGCTTTGGTCAGTCAATGGAAATCAAAATCTCTGTACTTACCTCTTCCCCTATCCGCATGCATGAGGGAATTGTAGACTGGCCAAATCGAACTTTGCACTTCCCCTCACTCACCTCTTAAAGTGGTATTAGCTCAAAGTTATTATATTCATTAAGTTGGTGTGATGATTTCTTCTCCCTTTGGAAAATAGCTGAACGAGAAGCCAATTTAGCCTTGGTAGGTGACAGGATTAGCCACTGGCCTCTTATAGTCCAAAGGAATTGTCATCCCTCCACTGCTCACTGTCTCTTTATTGCTATCATTTTATTTCCCAAACTTCACATAAAAAAATTTAGATGGTTGCTAAATCCTTGTCTAGCATGATTCATGCTGGCACAGGTAGAGATTTAGGCAGAGGTCTGTATTTGAGGGACAGACAATATACATTCCTACTTCAGCAAGTCTGAAAGCACAAGTAAGACTCAGACTCCACTGAAATCTTACCCCAAGGCAAGCAGTTTCTATAAATAGGAGAACCTATAAGCAGAGAGAATAATTACATGTGTTTGTGTGTATATGCATATGTATATATGTGCACATAGACATACATTCATATATATGTAGGTGTGCATATGCACATATATATACCATACATGGATCAATAATCTAGTTCTACATATTTAATATAAATTAAACAGCAAGTCTGATCAAAAACAATGCCATTCTTATTCATGGGGGGGGGAGTTTTTTTGTTTGGTCTTTTGCAATACCAAATGAGTGATATCTGCTCCAACAATGTGGTCCTATGACAGATCAAGTTTAAACACTGCTGATCTAGGAATGATCGTAACAGAAATATGAAATCCTGAGTCCTAGATCTAGACCCTATACTTAGTATTCAACTTGAGGTAAAATTAGACAACCCCACTTTCTCCAGCTACCAAAATGAATTAACAGTACCCTTTCCATTACCAGGCTAGTGTACGGATATGTACACACATAAAATATGAAGTACTTGAACTCTTCAAAATCATTATAGAAAAGTCAGGGTAATACTACAATCGAAAAGTGAAACTTATTGCTTCTTTATTTCTTATGCTGGCATCTTTACTAGATGTAAATAATTTGCCTTTAGGTGATATCTTTATGCACTAGAAGCAGCGGGTAATGTAGTAGATAGAGCAATGAACCCATTTAGGAAGCTTTGAGTTCAAATCCTGCCTCAGACACACTTAGCAGCTATATGACCCTGGACAAGTCACTTAACCTAGCTGCCTTAGTTTCCTCAACTGCCAAATAGGGATAATAGCCCCTACCTCCATAGTTGTAATGAGAATAAAATGATGTATTTGTGAAGCACACCTTGCAAATCTTAAAGAGCTATATAAATACTAGCTATTATTATTTGAACTAGATGCATATCGAGGGGAAAAGCCTTTAAGTACATTAACTTAAATGCTACCTTTGGACACGAATTTTTAATTCAGAATCAAATCAATCTACTTCAACTGGTTTCCCTGGTAAGAAACAACTTGGAATAAACTGATTCAGAGGAATCTGGTAACCCAGTAGATAGAGCACTACAGTCAGGAAGACTTGAGTTCAGATCCAGCCTCCCTTACCAGCTGTGACTTTGGGCAAGTCACTTAACCACTGTTTTCTTAAGTTTCCTCAACTATAAAAAATGGGGATAAGACCACCTATCTCACCAAGTTGTGGTGAGGATCAAATGGAGTCATATTTGTTGAATTTTTTTTTAAAAAAGCACTTAAAGGGCCTGGCACTAGTAGGCACTACATAAATGTGTTATTTGTTCCCTTTCCCCATTCATCTACTAAACTCCTGTCAGTAACACTTCATCTCTAAAATGGAGATAATACCCGTAGTTCCTACTTCAGAGTTGATTTGCAGATCAAATAGGGTCAAGAACCTATTATACTTTGCAAACTTTAAAGCATTGTCAGATATTTATAATAATCACCTAACCACAAGCCTATAAACTTGCTCTCTAGGTATGCTTTAGAGTAAAAGGCCAGAGATTCCTTCCAACTCTCAAATTCTATGACTCTTTGTATCTTACAGGACATAGTCCCTGGCACATAATAGGAGCTTAAAGGATCACTAGGAACCTTAAAGGTCAGTGGAAATCCTATTGTACATTTAATAATTTTACAATTAAAAACTAATTTCAGTCTCTTCCCTAACAGGATATGGGAAACTCATCAGTATGGTTGACATAAACTTCTTTTAAGGGGGTGCACATAAGGATACCACCCAAAGGCAAATTATTTACTTTATTTCAATGCTACAAAAGTAACACTTATTTTCACATTGTTTTATAAAAACGAAATGGATGACATTTTCATGCAAATGAATATCCAGCTGGCAATTCTGCACTGCACTTTGTACCCCAAGGCATTCAAAAGCACCAACTGTTAAATCACTAGAATGATGAATACCAACACTTCTAACGGGTCTGAGAAACCCTTTCCAAAGTTTCATTAGGAAACTTGGGTGAGCCATAGGGCAGTTTCTTTCTTCTGTTGATGGTCTACTGCTGTCACTAAGTCTGCCCTCTAAGAAGACAGCTATGTTTCTGGCCACATCCAGCATGTCCCACTAGGATGAAATTCCAGGATTTCTTAATCCTGGACAATACATCGGATAACCTGAAAAGAAAAACATAGGTGTTATAAATCCTAGAGTGGTTTAAAGTAAGAGCTGCTAGGAATTTGATGATCCATTTGCTCCAACCTCTTCATTTTACAAAGGAGAAAATCAAGGCCCAAATGAGGAGGAGGTTTGACGAAAGTCACACGGGAATTCGGTGGCAGAGGTAGACCTTTCTCCAAGTGTCTGGAACGCCCTTAATCAAGTCCTAGTTCCCAGGCCAGCTTGCCTTCCAGGCTGCTCGGAATCGATGTCTGCTTCTGGTGACTCCCCTTCCAAGTCTTCAGTCAACCATCGATCAACATCGGTCTCCTTCCTTAAGAAGCACCAAGAGATCAGCGCTATAAGGGAGACGCTCAAGGGTACGACCTTCCACCAGGGACGATGACGATCGCTTCCCAGGGAATGCTCCACGGCCCAACGGTGCGGGTTCGCCTTGCTGGAGGAAAAGTGGATAGGTCGTTCTAGCTCATCCTCCTCTTCCGCGACCCCGTTCTTGGCCCTGGCTCCGACCGAAGGGAGCAAGCCCCGAGAGACCCAAGGCACGAGGCTCTGCGCCCGGCGACTCCTGAGAAAGAGACCAGTGAGCCTCCCCGATACCACCCGCATCGTTCCGTTCCGCTCCGTTTCCCTCCCTGACTCTGGTCCAAGGACCCGGCTCGGGTGGAGCGAATGCAGCTGGCAGGGAATCCTCCCCGCCCCCTTAGCGAGGACTCACCTAGTCGCCCGACAGCACAGGGAACCACTCATGCCGACTGACCTTCCTCACACACCGCGCGGCGCCCTCCAGAACGTCACTTCCGGCGCAGACGCCTTCGTCACATCCCTTTCTTTCTTAGCTACGTTCTTTATCGCCAGTGATTCCGTCCTCGCCTTCCACACACCTCCGGAAGCAAAGACCAGGAAGTCGAAAGGGCCCGCGCTAAGCGGAAATAGCGTTAGTACGCGGCCCGTAAACGCCCTGCTGGAGAGCGTCAGGCCGAAGCATGATGGGAAATGGAATTTTGTTTTTCCTCTCTTCTCCATGGGCTCAGGGATGTCTAGAAAATGGCGGGCAAAAGAAGCTGCAGCCAGCCTTGGGAATATCAGCGGCTGAGATTTCGCTCTCCCAGTATCCCAGGAGAAACCCATATCATCACCACCACCGGCTTTGCAGATCTCACTTATATAACTGTATTAGAGTTTACGTAAGATTCTCTTGGTGCCAGTGACATAATCCCTACTTTACAGCTTGGAAAACTGAGGCCCAGAGAGGAGGGAGCGACCTCAAGGCGCGTAGCAATCCCTCTGTTCAGGCGACCCCATGCCGGCCTAGAAGAAGGAATGCCAACAGGGAAAAATGGGGGGGGCCTTAAGGGGTGGCTGTAGGAAGGTCAAGAGAAATTTTTTTCAAGTTTAAAAAAAGTCTTTTTTTTAATTATGAACTTAATTATCTACAAACAAGCATTAAAATACACGTAACAAACGGAGGAGGGGGGAAGTCAGAAACACTGACTCATTGAGAAGCAGCTTGGTTTCTTAGAATGATGGACTGAGCCCAGAAAACTTGAGTCTGAATCCTACCTCATACACTTAATAGTTGTGTAACTGCAGGTAAGTCACTTAACCCTTCTCAGCCTCAGTTTCCCAATCTGTAAAATGGGGATCATAATAGCAAACCTCAAAGTGCATTGCAAAGGCTAGCTATTCTGTAATGTACATACACAATTTGGCTTTTTTAAAATATATTAAATAGCATTTATGATGTGCCTTAACAGCCATTTCTCATTTGATCCTCATAACAACCTTATGAGGTAATAGCTATTATCCCTATTTTACAGATGAGGAAACTGAAGCCCAGAGAGTTTAGGTGACTTTCCCAGAATCACATAGCTAATTAATGTCTGAGAGGATTTGAACTCAAATCTAACTCCAAATCAGTCACTGAATGGGTACGGGCCCAAGCCCCTTATCCCAAAAAGAATTTGGGTCACAAAATCTATGGGCCCTAGAAAACCCCACCTTGGACTCTCCTTGAACTCACACTTTATCGAGGAAGTCTCTAGTGTTTGCTTGAGGCTATATTCCACTCAGCTGCCCTTTCTTTGTGGCTAAACCCAATCTCCCAATTTTGTTATCTCTGACCATTACTTCCCAGTCACTCTCATCAAGATCCTTCCTAGACCCCTCCTCACAGTCACTCCAAACTATTTGGCCACTCTTAGATCCCTCCCACAGTCTTTCTGTATATAAGGTCCATCTAGTGGCCTTTAAGGTGCTCAGACTCTTAAAATGTAGCCAATGGCTGAGATTTACTCTAGCCCACTTGTCAATACTAGTGTCACAAATGTTCAGATTCCTTAAGAGTCTGACCAATATGGCAAATCTGTGATAAACCTTGTCTTTGGCTGAAAGAAGACTTGGGTCGAATTCATTTGGGCAGGACCCACAGTCACTATTTTGAGGTCCTACCTGTAAACCCCTAAACCTCAACATATGGTTCCCTTCACTTCAACAACTCTATCCACTATAGCACCTAACTGCCTCTATATTGAATTTAACAAGGAAATAACAGAATTGCCCTATTGATTTGTGTCCCCTTTTGACTTACTTTTATTTTCTTCTATGTGTTTTAATGTTTCATTTAATGCCATTTTTTCCCCCTTCCTTCCTTTCTCTGTTATTTCCTGATAACTCAATTGTAAAAGATAAGTAAGCCAAATAAATTTGCAAATATATGCCACATGCTGTACCTCTCCTCTTTCAGCTCTCTACAGAAGCAGGAGACATGCCTCATCAGTCTTGGTAATGGCTTTCATCAGAGTTATGAAATCATTGAGAGTTGTTTTTTCCCTCATCACTGTGATCATTGAGTATAATGTTCTGATTTTACTTAATTTGGTCTGTGTCAGTTCATACAAGTTTTTCATTGGCAGAATATCATTAAGCAAGAGCTATGAGGAGGAAATTCTGGGGACAGAGAACAGTGCAACTAGAGATTCAAAGATGAGGAAGTACAGGCCTTGGGGAATAGCAAGTAATCTAGTTTGTGTATATAAATAATATCGGATAAGACTGGAACAGTAGTTTGAAGATAGATCATAGATATAAATTGACCTGCTTGCTTTCTCCATAATTTTATATCTCCATAATTTTGTTCACACTTTTCCTGTGCTTGTAGTGCTTTTCTCTCTGACTCTTTAAGTCTCATCCAATTTTTTGACATTCTCTCCATCTTTCACAAGGCTTAGCTTGATCGCCATCCCTTCTCAGATGAATTTCTCTGTGTATTACCCTCCAGTTAGAAGTGATTTCTGCTTTATTTGATCTCATTGCACAGGATTGCCAGACAAGAAGGTGAGAAGATTTGACAAGAAACAGTTTCTTCTGTTATCACTCAGAAAACAACAAAGAGAATCAACAAAGAAAAACAGCTAAAAAAAAAATCACACCCCAAAAAATAAAAATCAACCAGAACTGATAATAAGCAAAACAAAGTGACAATATAACAAAAAAGATACTACAAAGGAATTGAAACATTTAAAATTCTAACTATAACTCTGCTGGAAAAAGAAACAAAGAAAAGAGCATCAGTGAAACATTTTTAAAATACACAGAAGACAGCCAAAGGAAGTTCAGAAGGGGACATGTCAGTGTGGGGGTTACTCTGTTAAGTATAATACATACTTTTTAAAAAGCTGTACATCAGAATCAGAATTTCATATATAATTCTCTTTTCTGACCTTTTTACATACAAAAATGTTCATGTTTGTTGATATCTGTCAAGTTCAGAATTTTTCCTAAAAGAGAATAAAAAGAAAAATTAAGGATCTTGAGAAACATCTTAAAACAGATGAATAACATTTAAATAAATGTGCAAGAAATGGTCTGATAAGAAAAATCACAAGGCCAAATAAAGGAATATCTAAAACTAGGGGGGAAATTCAAGTTGGAAGTAGAAGATACTTTAAAAGGCTAAGAGGAAATAATTTTTAAATGGCTAATTTAGAGGGGGGAAATGAATCAGTAGACTCAACTAACAACACACTTGACTGTAGTGAAAAAAAAAATTAGACAATTGGGGGAGAGGGCTTTAGAACGTTTGAATTACCCACAGAATTAGAAAATAGATTCAAGTAAAGGATCTGGAGGAAAGGCCAAGATGTCCTCTAATAAGAGGACAGCAGCTTTGGTTTTACTGCAGAAATGGAGAAGACTCACTGCTTGCATCCTTTCCCTAACAACCCCCACTCCTCAATTTTGATACCACCTTGGAGCTTATTAAAGCTTCAAGATGATTTGCATTGAAAGCAAAACATGATTGCTGTTGAAAGGAACAATACTAAGGGAAATTCCTGTAAGATTAGGGTTCTATTTGTTGAGGTTTAGGGGTCCTGGTGACGAGGATGAGATCTAGACCCCAAAAAGGAAAAACCCTGTACTTTCCCACATGGCCAAATCTCTGGTGTTCTCTGAGGCTATAATCCCATCAACTGGCCTTTCATTGTGGCTACACCCAATCTCTCAATTCTTTTACCTTTCTATCACCCCAGGCCACTTCCCACCCTTAATCCTATCTAGGCTCCATTCTCCCTTAGCTATGGTCCAGGTCCCTGGAGTTCTATTACCTCATACACTACTTGGCCACTCCTAGATCCCGCCCATAGTCTTTTTGTATATAAGGTCCATCTTGTCTCCATTAAGAGGCTTAGATTCTTATAACCTAGCCAATAGCTTACTAATATTCAGTCTCCTTAAGAATCTGCCCAATATGCAGACTCTTTAAGAGTCTGCCCAATATGACAGATGTTGTCTTTGGCTGAAAGAAGGCTTGGGTTGAATTCATTAGGGCAGGATCCGCATGTTGTGATATTGGAGTCCCAGCACCCCTAAACCTCTAGACCTCATCACTGCGCATCTCCCTCTCTCTCTTTGCCCTGAATCAATTTTTTAAAAGAGAGAAAGCTATTAGATAAATGGAGTAATGCTGGATTAGAAATTTATTCAAATTAGTTGAGGAGACAGGCCCTGTATGTCATACATAAAACCAGCACCTAGGGTCCATTTAGGCATTCAAGTATCTGTGGCATAGAGGAGAGTTCTACTTAAGCCCCAGATATGGAATTACTGTGCTTAGGAATAGAGCTTCTTATTGTACATTTAATGACTTTTACAATTAAAAAACAATTTCAGTCTCTTCCCTAACAGCATATGGGAAACTCATCAGTGTGGTTGACATGAACTTCTTTTAAGGGGGTGCACATAATGACACCACCCAAAGGCAAATTATTTACTTTATTTCAATGATACAGGTTCTTGGACAAGAATGCAATATACCTAACAAAGACTTGTTCAGAAAAATGTATTTGCCTGGAGTATTACAAATCTAGCCAAAAGTGCCTTGAAGACCACTGAAAGACAAAGGGATAAGGAGAAACTTGCCATCATATAGCCTACACACCAGAGAATAACTACAATTTAGGAACAAAAATAGCAGTAGAAATACATGTTCACAGGAAACAAAATTCAAGAAATGAGCAGCAATCCAATGAATGGCCTCAGATGTTTATAGACAAATGCAAACAGTATGGGTGATCAACAAGACAAACTAGAAATCCTAATACAAATAATTAAATTTCATATTATAGGTATCACTGTGACTTAGTGGCATAGGATCCATAACTATAATATTTTCCCTGGAAGGCTATATCTTATCAAAAGGAAGAGAATAAAGGAAATGGTGAAGAAATGGAAAGACAACATTATATAATAAGAAGACATGCTCAAGTGAGGAAATCTGGGAATCGGAGGCAGGGGAAAATGGTACTCTTTTTGGTGAAAAGCAATGAAGGGAGAAACAGAAAGATATTAACATAAAAGTATATTACAGACAACCTGAATGGAAGGAGAAAATAGATAAGGAGTTAGGTCACGAGCTTGACACAGAGGCATGATATCTGGAAGCAGAATACTTTAAGTATTGGCAGTCTATTAAAGTTTGTTAAAAGCAGAGCAGCAATCCTCTCCTGGCCTTTATTAACAATTTTATCCTTCATAAAAGTAGAAAAACCAATGAGAGGAGCTGCTATTTCGGACTTTTCACCAACATGGAGAAACTATTAGATGGGGTAGGAATGTTAGGAACCTTGAGGGG